CCACCATTTCTGATTCCGCCGCATTTGTCCCTGACCTTGCAAGAGCTAGCTCTCCTTGAAGTAGATGTAAGGTAGCGCTAATAGAACTTTTCGCTTCTTTCTACAGAATGAGTGTCAGTCGTATTCTCATCTAGACAACTTAGTTACCTCTAGTCGAAGTAATTCCTCCAGCTGAGCATTTTCAGACTTGAGTTCCTGAAGCCTTGTCGAAAGTCCAGCGCACACCTACAAAGAAAAAACTTCAAAATTTAGACGAGAAAAAGACAAAGCCACCTTCGCGAGACGAGCTTCTTTTGATTTTCCGGATGTGGCAGAAGATTGCAACAGCCGGTTAGCCTGCAAGAATGGTATTCAAACTCGCTCCCCATCTAAAATACACATGAATCTCACCTCTTCCACCTGAGAATCAAGCGTTCCAAACTTGCCTTCGTTGGTGTTCGGCTGTTGTTTCTCTTTTGCTGATTCCGCAATAGTCGACAGATTCACACTAACAGTCCCATTCTCCGTCGTCATATCACAGTTGACACGCTCGTCACTGCTCGAGACGGTTGTTTCATCGGCTGCTCCACTTGACTTCCGAGGCTCAGCAACATCTCTCGCCGAGAAAAAACCATTCTCGACTCCTCCATCACCCTTCACTAGTGCCTCTGCCAAGCCGGAGCTTGTTTTCTGGAATAACACGAACAAGAGCAAAAGAAAACAAACTCAAAACTTCCAATGCCAAGAATTTAAGTACCTCTCTCAAATGTGTGGAAGTAAGAGCCTTTCGTTGCCCCCCATCGGACACTAAGCAAACAAGGACCGAGAAGTTACCATCTAAAACATGAGCTAAGACTCACCTGTGACCGGTACCGCTTGCTTGGCAGTGCGATCCACGACCTCTAGAAGCTCTGACGATATTTTGTTTTGGAGAGTGAGGCCGCAATGCAGCTGGCAGATAGACAAAGAATTTACCTTCCGCTGCACGCAGCCAGGAAGCCATGACGATCCCGGATCTAGCACCGGCGCCTCAATTGGAAATCAAAACCCTCGTGAACCCTAATTTACAAGCATTAATGTAATTAATAATTGATAACAGAACCAATTTTATTTGCATGCTTAACAAATTGATTTTGGCTGGGATTAAGTCAAAGGTCATTTTTTTGGTGGGATTGCAGATATTGGACCTCAGTCATGAGGTAAGATCTCGCCATCTCAGCTCCAAGTATGAAGAGTGGAATTCCTAAATTTGTAATGAAATGGATATTAAAAATATGCTATAGCCATTAATATGAGTAGCTTAAAGGAGAGAGTGGCTATATGATTTAATTATTTAATTTATATTAATTAATGCATATTCAGAAAAAATATATCAAATATAAGTATTATAAAAAAACTTGTTATTTCAATTTATATTTTTCTTAATACATATTCTTAAAAAAGTTCATTCAAAAAGTGTAGAGAAGCATAAAACTTGATAAAAGGAAAATATTATTTTGCAATAACAATAAAATTCATCTCTTAAATATCTTATTATATAATAGTAATAAATTTTAATGAGATATTTACTATCACAACCTAGTAATATAAGTAGTACAACTTAGCCTTCAATTTCTTTTAAAATATATGGCTAAATATATTACTATAAACTATTTCATTATATTAGTTTCGTCATTAATAGATGGTGATGATCTAGAATTTGATTTACTCAATAGCATAAAGAATATTGATATGATTACAATTATATACAAGAATAGATAGAGTAGATGCAATCCCAAATGGATAGTCTATATATTATAATACTAAAGTTAACATATTACTTAGGGTAATGTAAGTAACTAAAAAAAAACTCAAAAGACAATTTATAAGGGTTCAAATATAAAAGGAAAAGGTTTATGAATAAAAGTGCACTTCTTTTTTTAATTGATTAAAGTGTGAAGATACTTAAGGTTAACTGTTCTTTAATATTAGATTATGTGACCTCTAGTTTAACTTTATTAGTTGGTTAAGGGAATCATACTATATGTTGAGGTTAACATCTAGCAACTCTACCAATTCATAATTACACTACATGTTGAGATTGACATTTGGCAAGCATACTAATTTGCCTATGACTAGGCTCGATTTGAGGGGTAAAGTATCAAAAGAGCAAAGCTTTCAAAAGAGTTGTAACTCTCAACTTTTATTTATAATAATTTGAGTTTGCAAAGGATTTATAAGGGTTTAAATATAAAGAAAAATGGTCCCATAAACAAAAGTGCATTTTTTTTTCTAATTGGTTAAGGCTTTTAAGATATTTAGGGTTAACTGTCATTGATTTTGAGTAATATTAGGCTAAATAACCTTCTGGAAATCCAATTTAAGAACTTATGGGTAATATATATATATATATAGACACACACACACACACAACATTTTCCTCCTCTTTAAAAGATAAAAAAGTGATAACAATAAGTCAAATTGAACATTTTGGAGCTTCTACTAAGTGATTATATATTGCCATAAAAACTTGAAGCATTTATAGAACCACCAACATATTTGTTAATAATCATAACTAAACTAAAAACCCAAGTGTCAATCAATTACAAAATTTAATAAGCTAGCTACAACTTTATATACAATTGCCAAATGTTTGAATCAACCATAAAGCCATAACTTTAAATTAAAGTACCAAATATCAAAAGCTATTGCAGTCCACAAAGCATCATTATAGCAAACAATACATAAAGATATTAAACTTAGTATATGGGTGGTGGAGTTGTAACACATAAATCCCTAAGCCCTAAATAGCATTTAAATAGTCATAATTATATTTTGCTCAAACTTGAAAGATTGAGAGTTTAGATCATTTAGAATATTTGTTTACTATACAAAAGGAGAAATTTAAGAAACAAAAAGGGAAATCTTCCTTAAGTATAATTTATATTATAAAATTGCTAATGGATGCCACCACAAGTTTCTTTGCAACCAAAAAAGCACTATTTAAGAACTAATGCCAAAGTAAATTACAAGTCTCTAAAGCAATAAAGTGGTCCCTACAAGTCCATTTGTCTAATAAAACAATCATTCAAATAATTGGGCAAATTTTCTTTTAGTGAAGATAAGGGATTGATTTGGAGATCAATTTGATCCTTTTGGGATTTTGAAGTGCATTTAAGCTTTAAGGAATCAACATTTATATAAGTTTTAATGCTATTCAAACTCAATGATACTTAATCCCAAGTATTTTAAAACCTTTAATCAATTGAAAAAAGGGATGCATTTTTATTCTTATGTATGGGCTTTTTCCTTTTATATTTAAACCCACAAGGATTATTTCTTAAGTCATTGTTTTTTATTGTTAACAATCCACCATGTTTCCCATGAGATCCAAAAGTCAAAATTCAGCTTTTATACTAAAAAATATCATGTTGTAAACAATCAAAGAAAATGACTCAAAAGATAATTCATAAAAGTTCAAATATAAAGAACAAAGGGTCATAAATAAGAATGTACCCTTTTTTCTCAATTGGTTAATAGTTTTAGAATACTTGGGATTAATAGTCTTTAGGTTTAGTAGTATTTGGAATATTTTTGTGAGTCACACATATATTCAAGCACACATGTTTTTATTTTATATATTTTGCAGACTTCTATAATACTTTGCTAGGAAGCCCATCCATAATTTGAAATTACTTTTAAAAAACTAGTTTTCTTGATATAATTTTGAAGTAAATATATAAACAAACTCCTTTGCCTTTAGTTGCTCCCTCCTTTGTTTTGCATCTCTCTAATTTGTTTGTCCCACTTCCACTTGCTGTGGCTGTGGGTCTTGGATCGAGATTGCCTCAAATTTGGACGATGTGGGGGACGATTCCCCACCTCGCACCCAGCCCACACCCACCAACCACCCGGCAGCTTCGCCTGGAGTGCAGTTAGCCCGCCCACAAGCTTGACTTAGAAACATACCTCATGCGAGGCGGTCTTCCTCGCTTCATGCTATGCTCCATGTGCAAGGGAGCTTCATCCGGAGCTTCTACTCACAGCCTCGAACAGATGCATAATGGCAAATGCATTATGCACAAGTCCCTGGTCTGAGGTGCATATGCTGAACTTTATTTTCAAACAGTGATTATTTAAGCTTGCACACATTCACTCAAGATACCATTGGTCTCACTTGGGATTCTCATATGTTGTCCTGCATGCCATCCGTTCACAATCACTCACCCACACACTATCTGACTTTCGTCCGATCAGTTGAGTCGACAGGTATTCTCCAAAGCTGCCACAGCTACATCGATAACTTGATATCTCTTCACCACTGCTCTTGCAAACAATAGATGCACCACGATGCTCCCATTGTCTTGGCCAAATGTCCCTAAGGGTGAGCTTAAAACCACAGATATTTCTCAAGCATGGACTTTTCTTGGGTATCAGCCTTGAAATCATCCCCTGGATTGTCCAGATCTAGAAATTGTGGGCCACTTCTAGATGTGTTGTTGAAAACTGATATCTCCACTGTTCCGTCAGTTCCCCATTTTCCTGTCGTAATCGGCAGCATATAATCGCACACCTGGTCATTGAAATCAAGCACATCGTCAGATATCTATGCAGGAATATAGAATTTTACCTCTGCTTTCTCAGATAGCATGCATACTGGAAGGAAACGAAATTCAATTTTGCAAACATTGATGGACGTTTTCTGTGCTTGTGCAAGAGCCATGAAGCCTATTTGTATTACAAATTGGAGCACATAATCAAATATTTTACGTCATGAGCACATGTGTGCTTAGAAAAATCTTAATTTTTCGTTTGATAAATGATAAAAATCAGTTAAAAGTTGACTAACCAATGTGTCCCGCGGAAGTGAACTTCCTTTGAAAATGCCGCCACAGAAGCTAGCAAATAATAAACAACACCATCACCACAAGCTCACTCGCATTGGATTTGAGTAAAAGTACAAAGATCTCACAGGCTAAAGGTGACTATAAACATGTAATCTAGTTATAAGTGGTGGATGAACCCTAGTTTTTAGTTTGAAGATGGCCCTCGAGGGTCTCACGCGCGCTCAGCTCATCAATCGCATCAACAGCGAGACTGGCGACAACAGGCGATTCATTGGCTACACCAACGAAATGCTCATCGATTGCGTTCGTGGATTCAATGCTCCTCCTCCTTCCGCTTCTCCCCATCCTCCCCCTCCTCCTCCTCCTCCTCCTCCTCTAGCTCCTTGCATTTCTCCCTCTCTCCCTCTCCCGGCCAGGCGCAGGAAGAAGCTCGAAGCGGCAGGCGCGCAATCTACTGGCTGCAGCAGCCCTAATCCCGCCCGCAGTGCGAGCGCGGCGCCGACGATGCGCTGTGCGAATCCTTCGTGCCGCGCGGTCCTCCACCAAGCCGGCGGCTTCTGCAAGAGGTGCTCGTGCTGGATTTGCAGGAAATACGACGACAACAAAGATCCCAGCTTGTGGTTCGTGTGTGGCGACGGCGATGGCGTTGTCGTCGCGTCCTGCGCCTTGAGCTGCCACATTCAGTGCGTCCTCAAATCCAGCAGCGATGCCGTCGTCGACGCGAGCTACCGGTGCTTGAGTTGTGGAGCAATCACTGGCCTGCTCGGGTACGTCACAGAGATCTCTGTTCTCCACGAAGACGATTATAACTTCCTTCTCTTGTAGGACCTTGCAGAAGCAGTTCTTACGGGCAAAGGAAGCTCGTCGCGTGGATGTTCTCTACGAGCGTCTGACGATCGCTACCAAGCTTGTGAGTGGAAGTGAGAAGTATAGACAATGTGGTGAGAATGCCCAGAGTGCTCTCGACAAACTCTTGCTAGATATCGGCCCTTTCTCGGCTAGAGGACTTGTGAGCCGCCTCTCGTCAGCTACTGTGATTTTGGATTCCATAAGGCAAGCTCTTGAGTCCTTGGACGTTTTCGACGTGAAGCCTCGGCTTCCAGGTAACAGAGTTTTTGTGTTTGGTGGTATTGACGCTTTTCTTTCGCAGAGCCTCCGGTGTTTCAGTTCGAATTTATGGAGGTCTCTATGAATTCTGTGCTGCTCGCGGTGATCCAGAAAACGCCTGGAAGTTCCGGGGAGAGTATACTGGGCTTCAAGCTCTGGCATAGAAAGAATCGGGGTACATACCGCTCTGTGCCAACGACAACCATTTCGGTCTTGCAGAAGGCCCTGGTAACCGACTTAAAGCCGGGTACAGGCTACATGTTCAAGGCCGTAGCTTTTTCGGCCAAGGGTGACGAAGGGTTTTGCGAGTCCAGGTGCTACACGAAACAAAAGGAGGAAGCTTGTGCCGATCCTTTAATAAACTGTGGCATGAGCTCGGGCCAGATAGCTAAAGAGGGAGCAGTGCTGCTCAACCCGAAGGCTGAAGTGGTGGACGACCAAGCCCATGTCCAAGAAATTTGTTCGATCAAGTGCATGGAAAGCTGCAAGCCTGAGACTCTTCTTCCAGAAACGCAGACGGCATTGGAAACTGGGATCAGTGCCTGCTCCGAGGAGAAGGCTAGTGCTACATCATCAGCTTCAGGTGTGGTGGACGCCAATTGTCCTTCGACAGCTGCAGAACCAGCGAGCTTGCCATCGATGAATGTCAAGCATACTGCACAGCAGGAGAACTTAATAGATTGTGCGCAACGGAAGGATGATGTGCCTTTTCAAACAGTGACTACGACGGCGCCGGAAGATAGTGTATCTCGAGAAGTTCCTTCAACTACAGGCTTGGAAGCTGCGCCAGGGGTTCAACCAGTCAGGTTGCAATTTCACAACTTGATGAAGATTTCCGAAGCAGTAAGGATGGCAACTCCAAAGAATCCAACAACAGCGAGGAACTCAAGCGCCATTTCTGATGTACCGAACACAACAGCGAAGAACTTAAGTACTAACTTGGCGACACCATCATCAGATTCAGGTGTGGTGGACGCCGAGCTGAATTGTCCATCGACGGTTGCAGAACCTGCGAGTTTGCCATCGATGGATGTCAAGCATACTGCACAGCATGAGAACTTAATAGATAGTGTGCAACGGAAGGATGACGTGCCTCTTCAAACCGTGACGACGGCGCTGCAAGATAGTGTAGTTCCTTCAACTACAGGCTTGGAAGCTGCTTCAGGGGTTCAACCAGTCAGCTTGCAATTTAACAACTTGATGAGGATTTCCGAAGCAGTAAGGATGGGAACTCCGAAGAATTCAAGCCTGGCCTCGGAGACAACGGCGAAGAACTCAAGCGCCATTACAAACTCCACAGCGAAGAACTTAAGTACTGACTTGGACTTGGAGACAAGGGGGAGAGACTCAGAGACAGAGACGACGAATTTGACAGGCTTGACTACAGCTGCAAAGAACTCGAGCGCTAGTTCGCAGACGTGCAAGTCAAAGTCGGCTGTTGAGCATCCTTTCGTAACTGGACCAAGGAATGCGGACGACGATTCAGCGTCCAAGAAACGAAAAGCTGACGAGCCTGCGGCGACGAAAATAGTTCACGCCGGGGACAGGGACAACACGAGCTATAAGAGTGCGTGGAGGTGGACGGACAAGATATTCGAGCACTGTGTGAAGATGGTGCGGTGGCTCGAGTGCCAGGGCCACATAAAACCCGAGTTCCGGATGCGTTTCTTCACTTGGCTGGGGCTGAAGGCCAGTGATCAGCAAAGGCGTGTCGTGAGCATCTACATTCAGTCCATGATTGACGATCCGGTTGGTCTTGCCGCACAGCTTATGGATGCTTTCGAGGAGGCGATTGCTATTTCCAGGCACAGCTCTAACCACGATCGGCAATGAAAGTTCTAAACGAAGTCTCTTCTTCAGGAACTGCTAGATGGTTTTTTCTTTAACAGCACGGAGTGACAAACAATGTGGGATATGCAAAGTAAGTTATCTTCGTTTTTCTTTTCCCCTTTCGATCTAACTTAAAAGCTTACATAGGCTCTGCGAACTCAAGCGCGTTGCCGTCTGGATCACGGGTGAAAAGAGCAGGTCTTCCGGATTTGCTTGCAGTGTAAACAATGCCTTGCCGTCACAGCAAGAAAGAGATCATGTCAGGAATCAGGGAAATTCAAGAGATACCTGCGCTGTCTAACGCAGCCTGAAGTTTAGAGACGTCTTTAATGGTGACGCACGCGTGACGATCTCGTCCACCATGCTCCGGTCGACCAGTTAAAGGATCCGGGTTTGGAAGCTCCATGAGATGAATCATACCAGGACCAACCCACAACCATGCTCCACGATACGGTAACTTCTTTTCGGGTCTCTCTGGATTCAGCTCTAATCCTGAAACTCTTTTTTTTTCCAGAGCACATACTGGGAAATAATTGAACACTCACCTAAGACACCGCAGTAGAATTCCAGCGACTTTTCCAGATTGCTGCAAAGGAACCCAACATGATGCAAGTCTATGTACTCAATTGCTACACAGAGACAAGGAGATGGCAAGAGTCAGAACAAGCTAGCTATTAATCAACCGCTTTTCGAGGACGAATCCTTAGGTGAGATTGCAGAACTCGATGTTGCTGCTGACCGGCAAAGAGTTTTTGCAGTCTTTTGTGATACGACACTCTGAATTGCTGGTGATTGGAGCTGCTGGATTTAAAGCAATGGGTGAACACACAGACGATAGAGGATACGATGGGGATACTTACGGTTCGAGCTTGCAGGCTTGGAGCCCTGGTACTTGCGCCGATGCAACCATAGCTATGCAAGCCAGTCGCCATGCTAAACCTGTGGCGAGAGAATTAAAAGCCAAAGACCAGTCTCGAACCCTCGAATTTATTTCCGAGATCATCATCAACAACAGCTTCACCATTTTGGATTTGTAGAGCCTCACAATTATACAAAAGACTGCACGATTTACACACCGCGAAAACCTTACTGAGACGGATAGATGCACGAACCAGAGCCTGCAAAACCAACAACGACGGGGTAAGTCGCGAAAAGTTTTTATTTTCTCTTCCTTTTTCATTTTCAACTTACTTGGATCCGATACTGTGACCAGTGCATTCCCATCGAAGTAGCAGTTCCAGTAATTCCGACCGTGTTTCTGGTAGTAGCTGTTAAAGGCATACGAAGCATGGGCATCGACGGTATTTGGCTGGAAGCAGCTTCCACCGGGTTGAATTGCCGAGCAGTCTGCTCCTCCTTCACCACAGGCGTAGTTGAGAGCCGACATGAGCGTCGCAGTATCACCTCCCGGTTTTGCTACGCACCAGATGTGAGTTCCTCCGCCTTGGCCTGGAGATGGAGTCGTCGGAGCCGATGGAGGTGGTGGCAGCATGACAACAGGAGCAGGATTCACCGGAGGATAGTAGTATGGAGGCCGGGGTGATGGAACGTAAACAGGTGTTGGAGGTGGCAGCATTGGAGAAGGATAAACTGGAGGATAGGATGGTGAGGGAGGATAGACAGGCGGTGGACGATAGACGGGCGGCCATGGAACCACAGGAGGATGTGGAGGAGGTCTTGAGATGACTGGAGGAGGGGAGTAAGATGGTGGTGGTGGCATTGGTCTTGATGGAGGACAAGTGGGAAGAGGCGGTGGCGATGGTGGTGGTTTCGTTATGTGTGGAGGTGGTGGTGAAGGAGAGCGCGATGGCGGTGGATAAACTGGTCTGTATGGAGATGGAGGCGGTCTTGGTGGCGGTGGCGGTCTTCTAGTCGTCATTGGTGAAGGTGGTCGTGGTATTGGAATGGTAAATGGTGATGGAGGGGGCTGCTGGATGGGAATTTGCAAAGGTGGTGGAGGATTGCCGGAAGGAGATGTGGAATGGCCCTGGAGAATTCCAATGTCGTAGACGGTGGAGAGATCACCCGGCCTGAAGAGTCCGAAGTTTCTCTGCGAGGTCGGGCCGGGCTTCTTGTTCTCGTTGAAGAGAGCAAAGATGAAGACTTGGAGCTCCTGCTTTGGTCGCATCGGTGTTCCGGCCCCCGATTGTATGTGCTTGACGAGGTTCCGGTTGTAAGTCATCGCGTTGGAGACGCTCGCCGCCAGCTCGATGGGAGAGCCGTTTGACGGCCAGCCCGTCTCGGAGACGAGGACAGGGATGTTGGTGAAGCCCAGCTTGCTCATGGCCGAGTAGACAGCGTCGACTTGTGCATCGAAGAGGTTGTCGTAGTGGAGCTTCGACTTTGAATCGGTGACGCCGTTGTTGGTGAGGAAGAGCGCGTACGCCAGGGAAATGTCGAGCGGCTTGGCCTTGTAGGAGAAGTAAGGATAGATGTTCACCATGAACGGGGCGCCGGTCTGGTTGAGGAAGCGGAGAAGCGGCAGCATGACCGGCTTGGTGATGGAGTCCTTGAACTCTCCATCGGAAGGAGGGAAGCTCTTGCCTAGGATGGCCATGGAGTGGGAAGTGGAGACGAAGACCCGGTGGCTGAGCTTGAGGTCGTCGAGGGCCGTGTGCAAGTTGGTCATGACAGTGACGAGCTGCGTGTGGACGGAGGAGGAGACGTTGGCCTCGGTGAGCACCTGGTTGCCGACGGAGATGATCTTGATGGGGGAGGACTGCATGTAGAGGGCGACGTTCTCGCTGGCCCATTTGAGCGCGACTTGGTAGTCGAGGAGGCTGGTGATGTCCTCGTTCTTGACCGTGACGATGAACTCGACGCTACTGCCGGCAAAGGCACTGAGGACGAGGGGATTGGCATCGTAGAGCTTGACTTTGCGGATGGTGGTGGAGCGGATGAGCTGCACGACTCGCTGCGGAGATGGGAGGTTGTTTGCGACTTGGCCGTAGTTGATGCCAATGTTGGCGCTGGTGGCGGCCTGAGCACCTGGTGGAAGAGCAGGACTGTATCAGAAAGCGGAAACCGGGTTACCAAGCACAGGAATGGAATGAGAATATGGAAGCTTTCTCAGGAATGAGAAGATGGAGGTTTCCCAGGAATGAGAAGATGGAAGCCTTCTGACGCACATTGACGGAGCAGTGGTCACAAACTCACAGGCTTGGGAAGGTAGAGAGACGAGAAGAACTTGTGAAAAGTTCGCAACATCGACGGAGCAGTGGTCACAAACTTACAGGCTTGGGAAGGTAGAGAGACGAGAAGAACTTGCGAAAAGTTCGCAACAGCGACGGAGCAGTGATTGCAAACTCACAGGCTTGGGAAGAGCGAGAGACGAAAAGAACTCGCGAAAAGCTGGAGAGCTTTCACTTACATCTTGGCGAGTGGAAGACGGCGATGGTGGAGGAGACGATGGCGAGCGTCAGCAGCCAGCCCAGCGAGGAAGCTCTACTTCGCATTGCGGGAACTCAAGCGGATCTTCCTCCAGGTATCATTTCAGCTCAGCTCTTCTGGATTTTTCCTTTCGGTTTTAGTAGGATCTTGTCGTGCTGCCAACGCGACGATTTCTCACCAATGCGTCTAAACAAGGGGATGAAAAGCGAGCACTTGCTTGGTAGTGGGTTCCCTCCGTAGCAAAAGCAAGGCGAAAAGAAAAGCAGAGACAGTGAGGAAAAAGCAGCCACTTGAAAATTCAATCTTTCGCACATGGTTCTAGTCTCTCAAGGCGCGGGCCGTGGCCGCCGTTGGATCGGCTCATTCCTCAGACATTTAAACGTGAGCCGCTGGATCTAGCATATTCGTGTAGTTTGAATTTGGGCCGTTGGATTCCATGATGGGATAGGGTTTAGGGTTCTTATTCGGCTATGGCGATGGCAGCAGTGCCTTACTCTTGTCTCGTCCGTCTCCAGCGTTCCAGGCCGCGCATTGTGCCCGCAAGATGCTCTTCTCCCGGCCCCGCGACGATCGGATGCTGTCGCTGGAAGAAAACGAGGTATTTCTCCGGATTTCTCAGCAGGAGGCCGCTCGATCCGGCTAGGGCTCTCGACGAGGAGGGATACTACGTCCAGGAGGAGCAGGATTACATCCATCCCAGGTATCCTTTCAGCAACCAGTTCAATCCCGTGGACGACAGGACGCTGCTCGAGAAGGCCGCGGACGAGCTGGAGAAGATCACCCCGCTCAAGGCCGTCAAGATCGCGACGCTGGCGGCGCTGGTCTGGACGGCCGCGCAGTGGTTCCTTGGCGCGGTGGTTTTCAACTCAAGCTTGTGGATGTACGCGAGCTGGGCGCTCATCTTCTGGCCATGGCAGGCTGCGCTGCTCGTCGGCGCTGGCGCGTGCTTCCTGGCTCACAAGCGCTACACTCGGTGGGACGATCGAAAGTACCGGACAAGAGCTCGCGACAGAGATGCGCTGATAATCATCGCGGGGGCGCTGCTATGGCTCATCCTCGTCCCTCTCGGCCACTTCCAAGGCTACGTCGAAGGCTTCCCGGCGATTTTCTATGGCGTCTACTGCGCCTTCTCCATGTTTGAGAGGATGATCCGGATGAGAGTCTATGGCAAGACTGATACCAGCCCAGAGGACAAGGACTGGGCTCTTCCGGTGAGCCGCGCGACTTGGATTGGGTTCGTGGGATCGGTGGTGGTGGGGCACTGGCTGGCGGCGTTTGAGTCGCCGCCGCTGGTGGAGAGCTGGAACCTCGGGTGGCAGACAAAGGTGGCGGCGGTGATGGTGCTGGCGGCGCTGGCGCTCAAGTACTATGGGACTTACTTCCTTCTCAAGTTCTCCAAGAAGGTGGACAGCCCAAACATCGTGGTGCCGTTCGGGCCTTACCGCTGGGTGAGGCATCCCATCTATGGCAGCAGCATTCTCCTCTTCTCGGCGTTTTGCCTGGCGCTGCGAGCCTACGGAAGTATGGCGCTCATCCTCGCCGGCTGCCTCTTCTACTACGAGCAGCTGGTCCAGCGCGAGGAGGAGCTGCTGCTCAAGCATTTTGGCGAGGAGTATGGGAGTTACAAGAGGAGTGTGACCAAGAAGTACGTACCTTACTTGTACTGAGACAGCCTTGGTTTTTTTTCTTTCAGCAGGGGTGGGAAGAGTAGGACAGACATGTTTTGCGAGCTTTCCATGAACTTAGGAGAGTCAAAAGCGAGAAATTGCGGTGGGAGTGACCTAAGGATCTGAGGGGTGAGAGAGACGAGAGATGGGAAAGATGGGCTTGCGGAACAACTGGTTGGTTCGTTGGATGAGACGCCGCATTGTGGATCCCGTGCTCGGCTTCGTCCGGAGGTAAGCTCTTCTCTCGTTCTTCTTTTGTTTCGTTCTCGAATTGATTGGGTCTTTGAACATCAGGGGAACGGAACCCAAACAGCTCGCCTTGTCCGGTGCTCTCGGGATCACGCTCGGAGTATTCCCAGTTTATGGCAAGTTTTCTAAGCTATCTAGAGAGCTCGTTTTTAATCTTTGCTACCTTCTTGTAGGTGCTACTGCGTTGCTGTGTGCTCTTGCTGCTCTGGTCCTTCGATCTAAGTGCCATGTCCCGTTGCTAATGCTGGCAAATCTCGTAGCTACACCGATAGAACTGAGGTAGGCCATCCACTGCCCGCTTTGAAGCTTCGTCTTCTTTGAAAGTCTCAATTCCGCTACTTTCATATATTCTCAACTTTACTTTCTCGTGCACAGCTTGATTATCCCGTTTTTGCGAGTTGGAGAGTACGTTCTTGGAGCGGAGCACATCGCTCTGACAACAAGCACATTCAAAGAAGCCTTCTCTGGCCATTTGCCTCGACAAGTGATCTTTGGCCTTTTGTACGCAGTACGTGTTTTTTGCTCGTTCTCTTGCTGTAACTATCTGTTTATTGATTCCTTGTTTGGTGAAAAGGTGCTGGGATGGATCGTTGCCTCGCCCTTCATCTTCTGCGGGCTGTATGCAGCCTTCCTCCCGATGTTCCAGAGCTTGAGCCGCAAAGTTAGAAGCGAACCATTGATCCGGCAAGGCCGTTCCTCGTCCAGGCCCCTGAGCGTTTGAATCTCTTGGCAATGCAAACCAAAGGTTTAACGCTAAAAAAGCTAGCTATGAGTCTTGGTACTGGTAGTATTGTGTTTTTCGCTTCAGCCTGCCTGCCTGGTTGCTGGCAATTTTCTGACAAGCGCTTTGGTGAGAAAAAAAGATCCACTTTCCAGAACTGTGTTGTGTACATGAAAGCAAAGACTACGCAACTTTTTCAGAAACATTGAATGCTGTGTAGAGCGCTCGTTGAACGGCTCGCTCGTTCAACATTTCAACATTCCTTGCCGCCCTCCAAATTCCAATCATCCTCCGGCTCTCAAGAAAGAAAGCGAATCCATGGATCATGAGTGAAGATCTAGTGCCTATCTAGATCGCGATGACAGGAAACCAGAGTATATATATATATTGTAAACATTGATCAGCGTACATAGAACAGTGCTCTCCTCGCTCGCTCAGTGCCCCACAACGTAGTCTGGAAACAAAAAAGCAAGAGACTTTAGCACACAAGTAGAAGAAGGTCGAAGTGAAAGAAAGAGAAAGGAGGTGGAGGTGGAAGCTTACTTCCACACTTGTAGTGCGGCGGGATCTCATTGGCGTAGCCGCAGCGCTCGGGGATGGTGAAGGCGTTGGGGACGGAGAAGGTGAACTGCTGGCGCGCGGTGAGCATGGTGGAGCACAGGCAGTCGGGGTTGCCGCGGAAGCGCGTGAGGGAGGAGCAGCACTGCGCGCCCGGGAACGAGGTGCTACTCTGCGTCGCGGGCAGGCAGCTGGCCAGCATCGCCGGGCTGCCATTGCACTGCGCCGCCTCCACGCGCCCAGCAATGGCCGCCAGCAGCGCCGCCACAGCCAAGACCACCCCGATCTTCATCGACGCCATCTTCTTCCTCCGATCAGCAATGACCAGCGCGCTCGAACTGGAGACGATGGATGGATCCAAACGAGGCAGTGGAGTAAAGAGCGGTGATCCAGCACTGGGATTTTATAATCGCCTCCATCCAGTCTCTCTCTCTCATTGCGTTTTGCGCTGCCTGGAGCTGCCAGACTTCGCGGTCCATTGAATGAGAGCCGTACAACCGACACGTGGCGTGTCGGTCATTAACTCCGGAGACGGGCATATTCCGGCGCATGCGGGGTGACGGCAGGACCGTACTATACAGGACACCTGGGCGGGACCGCTGGCAGGCCACGTGGCGGCGTTAAAACACGTGTATTTACAGCTCGGCAAGAATTGTGGAAAGAATCGTTGTGTGATTTTTTTTTTCTTGGTTCTTGTTCTTGTTCTTCTAGTTCATGAATCGTCGGCACCGTGACGAGCCGCACAGGCACAGGACCTTCTTGTCTTCCTTGTCGAATTGATAATCGTACCTACACAGGCCACACCAAAGAGAATCGATTAGAAAACCACGAGACGAGAAGAGAAGAGAGATCTAATTCTCTCTTTTTTCTGCCAACTGGATCTTCTCTCACTCACGTAAGTTCCTCGCCGACTGAGACGTCTTTACGTGCAATCAGCACAATGTGGCTCTCGCCTTCGCCTTCTACGCTCACAATCCTCGCATAGCAGTTTGGTTCGCACTGTGGAAACAAAACAAAGATAAACATCGTGATGATCATTGGAAGAAAGAGTGACATACCGAGTGGTTGATCAGCCGTCCAATGTTGCCGTTCTCCGTTGCATCAATGACGACTTCTTCGCTTATCTTGAACAGCTGGTTTTATAAATCCAAGTCTATGCAAAGTTAGAGTGGGAGCAAAAGTCGAAGGCTGAGGTTGTACACTTACATAGCAGTGCTTGCCTTCCAAGCAATAACGCTTTTCCCGCAAGTCTGCCACGCTACGGCGAATCCTTTCCCCTCTGTATTCCACCACCTGGCATCGCGAACGACATTTAGCAATCAACTCGAAGTAATAGTACGCAGGGCGATGATTTACCATCTCTCCTTCTTTGATGTATCGCCTCGCAAACAGTCCCCATCCATGGATGCCTGATTTACCAAAGCAAACTCTCGTTTTCTCAGTTTTCTGCACCAGGCACGGCCACATATATATCCTGGAAATTTAGACGTGTTCGAACCTGTAGAAACGACAGACGCTCCTTCATAGACATTACTTCGCCATGATCTGGTTCTAGGTAGTCCTGTGCATTGTACACCATCAGAATTTAGAGGACAGGTCTGAAAAATTCTCAAACCCTCAGTGAGCTGATCCAGTCTAGGGAGTTCTTGGTGTATCCCATCACCCTGTAAGCTATCCCAGCTCCAGTCGGTTTCTAGAATCCCACCACAAACACATATTAGAAACACACGACCAATGTCAATTCTGTCGTACCTTGTGAGATGTATCATCAGGGTTGTATGCTTGGCATCTGGCAGCAGGAAGCATCCTCCAGCGCTTGAATTTTTCAAACGAGATCTCAAGACTCCGAGACAGTTCGTTGGCAGCGAGAAGGCATCCTAGCCTTTCCGTCTCAACGCAGGGAACTTCTTCTGTGGGGACAGGGACCAGTGGAAATTTGGTTGCTGGAGGCTTCTTTTGCGTAATATTGTACTGGAGAAATGCATCAGGGCTTGGAGTTCTGCAAGAGTTAAATGTGCTTAGCGAAGTAAAATTGATTCGGAGGCAGCTTAACTTGTGTGCAGCGCAATATGATAGCATCCTCGTAGACGGTACATTTTTCTTCTTGGATATTTGCAGCTGAAACAAGTCCCGTTAGTTATCGGCCATCTCTTGCTGAGCGCTTTTACCTCCATATGATATCCCGCCCTTGAGGCACACATAGGATGGTATGTGGTGCGACATTTGGTGCATTGTATGCAGGCTCCGTGCACTTGTTCACAAACTACACATGCCTGTCACACACACAAGGTTTGGCATTGTTCTGGTTCAAACAGAACGAGAACACACCTGAGAAAAACGGGTGGTGTCCACCCCTTGCAGACCAACCGCCGGTTCCATCTTATTTATATCCTTGAACGCTACTTCTGGCGTGAACCAGGCGCAAGTAACGTGGACCCAAAATCCAGGAATATCAGAAGGTTTGAGCGCACCACCTGTGGCAAAATCACGAACGTTTTATCGCGGTAGAGTCTAGGCATGACGAAGTACCTTTTACTGGACAAAGGCAGCATTCTCGTTCTATGTCAGGAGTTTGACAGACTCGGCACACCCAGGAACTACTTATTTCGGATGCTTTGACCCCATAACACTCCTCGTGCACAGCTAGTTGGCACCTGCTCGCGAGTTTAAGAATAGAACAGTGAGAAAATGTGTCATACCTGTTACAAATGATGATCTTGTTATATTCATAATCTTCAACCCAACGACACACGGCACATCTTTCTGACGTCCAGTTGACTATTACCGGTGTGTACGGCTCTAACAAAGGAAGAAAAAGTATGAAGACTGGAGTAAAATTGAAACGCAATATCTTACCCTGTAGGCAAGCGGTGAAATCCTTCATCGCAAGCTTCCGAACATTGTGCGAGTTGTAGCCGATGCCTGGTGCGCCACTCTCAATCATTCTTTGAAGCTGCAAGTGTATGCTCTTTCAGAATTATATGTTTCCAAGCCCCTTACACTCACCCATAAGTAAAGAGACTGCTGTGTGGTTTTTATCTTAATAGTTGATTTCCACCGTCTGCTTTTACAGCCTGCGTGCCGTTCCCACTCTGATGGGGGCATGAATTTACCATCTCCACATAGTTCACATTGACAAAAGACCCTGTTGGACATAAGAAAACTGAGAAAATCAAGCACAATAAACAGAGTTATTCCAGCTTACTCGTGGCGTTTTGGTCGATACTCAGCTTCTTTTGTTCCGCAGTAAACAATTAAACATTCAGGGATGAGATAGGTGTTCCACTCCGCCAGCATCCTGAACTCCGGTTAGCAATGCAATATGTGAAAGACGAGAAAAATCTGTTACCCTTGCCGTGTTTTACTTTTGCATATGTTACAAGTGTAAGAAGAAGCAGTCTGCCGGATTGACAAAGTGAGATTGACAAAAATAAATATCACAAGATACCTTCGATAGCACCTTGCTAACTTTTACGCAGGCTGCATGCATCCAGACTTGACAAGCACCACAACGGACCTGAAAAAAAAAAGTTAATTAGAAAAGGAATCCAGGAAGACAGAAACTTCTTACCCAAGAAACTTGTTCGAACAAGGATCGGGGTTCTGTACACACGCTGCAGTGCTGTTCAGGTATCCGTTCTTAGGCACGACAAAGTGAATATTCAAGACGTACCTGATCTTCTTCTGCAAAATTATTAACGTCTTCAAGAAGAGGCTGATCGGTATCACTAGTTGATGTTTCGGGTTTAGCTTCACAGACAACCAGCTGCTTCTCAACTTCTTCTTGCTCAAAACCAGATTCCGCAAGTATAGCCTCCTCCATTGCAGAGCCGAAGGCTTTTTCTTCATCTTCTTGCAAAGTTTGATTTTGATACCTGGCACATGATCAATTGAATTGAGAAGACTTGCAAAGGATAGGACACACCTTTCGAGCTCATCCATGAATGGAAATATCATGCTCCCTTGAACCCACGAAAACTCCTTTTAGAAAATAAAACACGTCAGAATCTGGACTGGAGACTGGAAAAAGTAAATGCTTACCCGCTGCTTTCCAGTCCCGAAGAACATCACGCAGACGGAGCTTGGGACACGAGAACTTTGAACTGCCGCTGGTGGATACTTCACAACCTTTGCCGGCCAAAAGAGATCGGCTCTTTTTCCAGACTTTGCCCACACAATGACACCCTCCTCAAATTTCTCTGCTAGATGCTGAGCCATTATTGTTGCCACAGACATGTCGCTTGCATCACTGTCATAATCTTGGGCCTCCGGCTCGTCAAATTCTTGGTTTGTCGATAACAAGCAGTTCATCTTCTGCGTCTTACGAGCTGATATCTCATCGTCTTCTGAGTCACTCTCCACGTCCTTTGCTCGCTTCACAGGCTGAGTAGCTTTTGCATCCGCGCGTGCCTTCGTTGGTTTCTTACACTTCGGGGTCATTTCCCGCTTGGCCGTCTTAGCTTCGTCTTTTGGCTTCTTCAAAGGCTCCACTACCGAATCTCGAAGCCACACTGGACGGGTTTGAGTCCTGCCTCTCTTCGTTTGAATAAGGGGACCTTCCGGTTCTTTGGATACCGAAGACTCCACAGACTCTGCTTCCTGCTTCTTCCCACCTTTCAGTTCCTCAGCGGCTTTGCTCGCCGCCGCCTCGGCTCGCTTCGACTGGAGTTTACCGGCAGCTCTGGTGCCAGGCACCTGCGCCCTTTTGTCGTCTTCAGCGACTTTTTCCGCTACGCTTGAGCCTGTTGCTCTATGGACCGCACTTAGTAACAAATTCTCGGCCGCTGGATAATTGTTGATCAGCATCCGCGCTAGAACGCACTCCCTGCTCTCCACTCTCTGCCGCTTGCCATCCCTTGACGCCTCGCTATCAACTTTTGTAACACCGTCCGGAGAAGGAGCTTGGCCTATCTTGGTTGAAGGGATTCCACCAGTGCACTTCCCTGTGCCGGGTATGAAATCCACCACCTTGCTCGCCTTGCTGCCGTCTTGATGGAAAATCAGAATTTTCGTCTTCCCCACCGGATTCTCTAACGGGCACTGCTGATTGCTCACACAAACCGAGCCACAGGACGCCTCCCTCGCCCTTTTCTTCCCTCTCGGCTTCGGCAAACCACTCTGCGGTGTTGGAACCGTCACCATCCGAGTGCCCTCGAGGCAATTCATCCTCATGCGCTCCAGAGACATGGCACCAACACTGGTTCCATTCACCACTTGCTGCTTCGCCGCTACAGCCCCGGCGCTCACGACGCCATTCAAAGCCTGCTTCACTGGGCCGGACGGCCCCCGGGGAATTCCAGCATACCTGGGGTCCAATGGCAGCATCATGGTATTTCGCGCCACATGAACAGTCTCCCCGACTCGGCCGTTTGGGCGGAAGAACACCGGCGTCCCTGGAATCCCCGGCCATGGCATCCCCGGAGCTGGAGCTGGAGCTAGAACCGGCTTGGAATGTAGCTTTTGCATACACTCGCTGATCTTATCGAGCATCGTCTGGGTCGTCATCCTTTGACACGCAGCTGGGAGAGGATAGGGAGGCAATTGGAACGCTGGAGTCCGCAGCGTCGGCGCTAATCCCTGCCCTGGATGTAGAACACCACTACTCGGCGCTGGTATCCCCTGTGAGACGACACTAACACCACTACCCTGCGGTATCCCCTGTGAATTTCCCGGCTGGAATCCTGGCACCGCCCCTTGCTGTGCCATTCCCTGCTGAAATCCTGCCCCTAGAACCTGTTGTTGCTGCTGCTGCTGCTGCTGCTGCGCGTCCGGGGGTCGCCAGCATTCCGACGCCGGGGACGAGCAAAGCGCCGATGGCGTCTCCAGCTTGAAAATCCCTGCGAATTCCTCCTCACGCGCTGATCCAGACGCCCGATTCCATCATCCGATCTGGAGGCGAGGCGAGGCGAGGCGAGGCTTCGCGTCACGTCCAGAGGAAGAACAATGGTTAGGGTTAGGGTTAGGGCTTTACGAAGCTCTTGGATCGATCGACCACGCACCTCGATCGCGCCGCTGCGCAATCGCCTCCGCTACGTCCGCGCCCCAGCTCGCAGCAGCACGAACGCACTCCCCGGACGCCCTAGCTCGCGAATTCCTGCTTATGGCCTATCTATCTAAATTTCTTTGTGGGGAAGACGATGGACGTTTGGCCACAGGATTCCCCAGCCGTGAGACCAATCCCGGATCGCCACGTGGCCTTTGAATCTGCGCGAGCCCGCGGGTTGCCGCCGTTCGTCGGATTTATTCTCCGGGAGTCTAGATCGACGGCCATGATTTGCACCAGCGCCCAGCCGTTCGATCGGCCATCCAACGGGCCTTGTCATGTGTGTGTTGCTTGTTGCAGTGGGACGACGATGTCCTTGGCGATTGAGCCGAGCACCTGGATCGGCGATAGGTTTTCTCCTTGATCCGGCGCGGCAATCTCTCCATCCGGGGGGGGAATCGCATCCAAAATATCCAGTGTACGTTCCCAAATCCAAATGCGCGGCGCAGGTCTAGGGTTCTTAGATAGCAGCCACATTGTCTAGCAGCAGATCGATGCGCTAGAGGAGGCCAGGGCAGGGAGGGCAGGGCTACTGCGATTCCCGGTGAGAATGATGCAGAGTCGCGTGATCGCGCAGCAGGAGCAATACCAGCAGCAGCTATGGCGGCCTTCCGGCGAGCTGCTGCATCTGCTCACCGAGGGAAAGCGCCAGGCGGCCGATTTGGAGGAGCTCCACGGCGGCGGGCGCTATCAATCCAGCTCCGGTGCCGAGGAAGAAGCCATGGTTTCCAAGAGGCAAGCCCCCGCGGTGTGGAGGCCTCCCATTGGAATGAAGCCCAATTGCCCGCTAGCTCCGCCGGTGATAGACGAGTGGCAACTGTGCAAACAAGAAGAACCCAGCGCTTTGCTTCTCGCTGGAGAGAAGAGGAGTGATGATAGCAGTGGCCAGCGAGTACAGGGAAACCATTTCCACAATGGTGGGAGGGGCAGCCCAAGTGATCTTTCCAACTTAATGGGGTCACGGACGAATTCTTCTTCCGGCAATGCACATCATCTGGACAGTGAAAGGAACGATCTCTCCACGACGACGGACGAGGAACTCATGCCGGCCCCTAGAACGGCCTTTGCAGATCCCACCAAGCTTTTCCAAGCGAGCTCGTCGTCACCATTTTCCAGCAGTGGAAGACGAGAGGAAGATAGTCAGGGTGGCAAACTTCCGTCACCTTTTATCAAGCAGCAGGCAGTGCCGCCGACTCCACTGTTTTCTGGGCTTGGGAGTGTGAGTTTTGGATCCGGTGCCGGATTCCTCAAGCCTCCAGCGACCAACGTTTTCGCTCACAGTCCTCCGTTGGCATTTGGAAGGATTCTACGTAACTCTTCTGACGAAGAGCTGCCAAACCAGGACCAAGTTCCACCGCAAGTTTCGACCGTGAAGCATTTGAGCTCCACGAATTCGGCATCTGAGAAAGGGAGCTCTGACTCACAGACTGGGAAAACAGCCGTGGCCACTGAATCGAACGGAGGGTTCAAACCGAGTGGCCTGGCAGGCAAGAGCTTGGTACCGGAATCTCCAGCCAAAGCAGGGAAAAGCACTTCTGGCCGGAAACTGCGAACGAGGCCTTTGGATCTTCTGATGAACGCACTTCAGGGTGATGCTCCGGCCAAGGCTACCAGGCTTGGGTCCAGGATATCTAATTCTGGAGCTCAGCTCAATACTTCATCGTCAGCGCGGGACGCCGGGGCTGGAGCTCAGGATGGTCCGGCTCAAACCGCCAACACTCGGAACTCATCGGCCTCGCGAGCTCCGAAACCGACGAGAAATTCGGCCAGGCAGGAAAGCTTACAAAAGCAGGAACAGGATCGTCAACAGCAACAAGAGCAGCAGCAGCAACGAAAGGGAGCGTTTTTCGTGCACACGGGTGTCTGGATTGTACAAAAGAAATCCTCCAGGCATACCAAGAGCGCGTTTAGGAAGAAAAGCTCGGAGGAGGAGCAGAACCAGATCGTTCCAGTCGCAAGCCATCGCCGGCAAGCTCCGCCAAAGGGCAGGAATGGACACCACCCTCAACAGGGGACGACGGTGGGGACGACGACGACGACGACAAGGCCAACGTCAACGAAAAAGCGATCTCTCACTGCGATCAGCACGCCACAGCAGCCGGAACCAAAGCAGCCGAGGAGAAGCCAGTCGAAAGCTCGAAATGGCCACCAAGAACAAGCAGCTGCTCGAGCCGCGATCAAAGCTGGCCGAAAAGAGAGACGAGGCGATGACGAACAGGAAGAGCAAGGAGATGGAGAACAAGAGGAGGAAGAAGAAGAAGAAGAGGACGAATCTCTCGTTGTCACGAAAGCTCCACTCGTTCGATCCAAGCGTGGAAGACCCCGAGCTTTACCGACGAGGCTACGAGACTCGGTGGTAGTAAACAAGGTGAAGAAGCCAACGAGGAAAGAAACCAAGTGAATTATACCAAGCGAGAGAAACAAAAACATCGATCAAGAAGGAAGATTTGTGTATGGATCAGAGAAGCATTCCTTGCAAATGGTTTAAACTTGTATCTTTCAAATCTGTTGGTATGATCGCTACAAAAATTCCAAACGAGAAACAACGAAAGAGATGAGGAAGAAGAAGAAGTTTGATCTCTCCGGGCCTGTGTTGGTGGTGGCGTAGCTCCCTCCTCCTTCCCTGTACACGATTTCACGATTTCTACATACCACCTCTCTATCATCCGCGTGAAAATCCATCCATGCCATGGACCACTACCTTGCTCCAAAGGGCTTGCTCTTCCTCCCTTTCTTCCAATTCCCCAGCACCGAGCCTTGGAACCGCAGCGGCAGATTCTGGCTTCTCCCACGCTTGGATCGAATCAGGGCACCACCAAATGCGTCGTCGCCACCACCATGATCTTGCACCTCCTCCTCCTCTTGCTCTTCCTCCTCCTCCTCCTCTTGCTCCTCCTCCTCCTCCACCACCACCACTGGCACCGGCGCCGCGGCCTCGAGGTGCTCTCCATGATCATCGCCATCGCCATCGCCCACGAGCTGGAGATGGCGGCGATGATCGAGAATCGTCGCGGACTCCCTCACCACTGTGCTCAGGTCCCTCTTTCTCTGATGAACCCCGGCGCCCTTCTTCGTCTTCGTCGTCGTCGTCGCCTTCTTCTTCTTCTTCGAATTCGCGAGCTCGCCAGCAGCAGCATTCCTCTTGACGCCCGGCCGATGCTCCTGGTGATCCTCATTCCTGGATTTCTTTCGGACCACACCGTACTCAAACGCATCCGCCATGAGGAGCTTGCGCGGCTGCTGCTGCTGCTGCTGCTCAATCCTGCGCTGCGACGCTCGCACCCCGGGCCTTTTGCCGGATCCCCAATCCGATCCCACCTCCAATTGCATCGCCACCTTGCCCGGCCGCGGGCACCTCCGCACGACCCTCTTCTGCACAAACGGGATCTCGCCATGCACGAACCTCGCCTTCCTCCAGATCCTCCTCCCCAATTCATCCACCTTCTCCTCGTCGCTGGAGATCTCCACCATCTCCACACTGCAATCCTCTGCTGGTGGTGGCGACGACGACGCCTGAATGGCAGCCTCCGCCAGCACGTCCAGCGCCTCGGACATCGCCTCCGCAGGGTTTGGATCATCCATCTCGTCGCCCACGCCCTCCAATTCCAACTTCCCTGCCAGGGCCTGATCGCCCGACCTAGCTCTCGCATCCCCCGAGAACTTCTCCTCCATCACCTTCTTCCTCTTGCTCTTCCTCGCCAAATGCTGATGCTCCTCCCCCTGCCCAAGCTCCTGATCCAACCCATTGCCACTGTCGGAGCTCTCCACGCCGCAAGTTGTCACCTGGGAGATAGCCACCTCACCCGACGAAGAACAGCCATCCACCTTCTTCGCGATACCGCCCTGCCGATCAATTCCCATCGCGCCGGCGCTCTGATCCTCTTCCTTCTCCACCTCCTTGCTCTTCTTAACCCCAGAAGGATCCGCCCTTGGATGACGATCTTGCGAATGCCCAACACCCGATCTGCCCGGAAAACCGCAAACCTGGATCGCGCTCTCCTGCCCCTGCCTGTACTGATCCCGATCCTCCGGAACCATCGACCTTGCCAAAACGGCTCCCCCGACTTTGGCTTTGATCGCCATCGCCCTTTGATTGGAGCTGGGCACCGAGACCATCGTCGACACCGTCGTGGCGCTCGGCTTGGCCTCCTCCAGATCGTCGCGATCGTCGCAAGGAACAAAATGCCTGCAGCCCAAGTGAGCGTAGTCCATACTCTCGCGGTACCTCTTGCTGCCCAGGTTGATATCCGCGACGTAGGATGGAAGCACCGCGGTGACACCGCGGTGGACGCGCGGTACCACCGCGGCGGCGGGGTGACGCACCACTGCGTTTACCGGGTTGCGAGGCACGGTAACGCCGGTGGGACGAGGATCTTGGATCACCACTGCCGCTGCTAGATTTCTGTGGTACTGCTTCGCTGCTGGTACCACCGTCGCTGCCACTGCCCCAGGATTGGAGATCGGTATGACCGGCTCTTGATCATCCCCGACCTGGCGGTGTTGCTGTGGACGATGATGATCCACCACCATAGCCCGTCTTGCAGCCATCTTCCAAGAATTCATCCCATCGGCGGCACTGGATTTGCTCCTCCACGCCGATGGTTCCAAAAGCTCCTGCCGCTGCTGCGATTCTTGATGAATCGCGGCGACCTCCTGCGATTGCGTCGGTTCTTGGATGATCGACGAAGGATGCTTGTCGAATTGGACCTTCTCCGCCCGCCTTGCCATTGCTCTCCGGAATGCCAATTTCTCCTCGCACACATCCTCGCTGCAGCAGTAGTAGCGATCCGCGGCCATCGCCCTCTCGATCCCAAATTGCAAAGCCTCCCTTGCCAGAATATTTCGGCTGTGCGTGCCTTGCCGCTGGTCTTGGCCCTGGGAATCCGACTCGATCCTACAATCCGCCCGAGGAATGCATCACCCGGCGATGCACGGCCGGGCAAGAAAGATCGATCCGCGCAAAGATCCCGATGGCGAATCCCAAGCCCTGGGGAAGAAATGGTTTCCCTGGCAACCAGATTTTCTTTGGGATCTTTCAATGCAGCTTG